CGGGAATTAAGTCCAACCAGGTGGCCGAAGTATCAGATGAAGATGATGTTGGCACCATGGACCCGGGAATTAAGTCCAACCAGGAGGCCAAAGTATCAGATGAAGATGATGTTGGCACCATTGATCCGGGAGATAAGTCTTACCAGGAGGCCGAAGTATCAGGTGTGGATGACGTTGGCACCATTGACCCGGGAATTAAGTCCAACCAGGAGGCCGAAGTATCAGATGAAGATGATGTTGGCACCATTGACCCGAGAGATAAGTCTAACCAGGAGGCTGAAATATCAGATGAAGATGATGTTGGCACCATTGACCCGAGAGATAAGTCCAACCAGGGGACTGAAGTATCAGGTGTGGATGATGTTGGCACCATTGACTCGGGAGATTAGTCCAACCAGGGGGCTGAAGTATCAGGTGTGGATGATGTTGGCACCATTGACCTGAGAGATAAGTCCACTCAGGGGGCTGAAGTATCAGGTGTGGATGATGTTGGCACCATTGACCTGAGAGATAAGTCCACTCAGGGGGCTGAAGTATCAGGTGTGGATGATGTTGGCACCATTGACCTGAGAGATAAGTCCAACCAGGAGGCTGAAGTATCAGATGAAGATGATGTTGGCACCATTGACCTGAGAGATAAGTCCAACCAGGGGGCTGAAGTATCAGGCGTGGATGATGTTGGCACCATTGACTCGGGAGATTAGTCCAACCAGGGGGCTGAAGTATCAGATGAAGATGATGTTGGCACCATTGACCTGAGAGATAAGTCCAACCAGGGGGCTGAAGTATCAGGTGTGGATAATGTTGGCACCATTGACCCGGGAGATAAGTTTAACCAGGAGGCCGAAGTATCAGATGAAGATGATGGCACCATTGACCTGGGATTTAAGTCAAACCAGGAGGCTGAAATATCAGATGAAGATGATGTTGGCACCATTGACCCGGGAGATAAGTCTAACCATTAGGCCACGACACATCGTCTTGATGTGGCAGACATTGATACCTTATTTTAAAATCATTCAATGCATGACAAAGTTACAGTCCGTACAAGAATGTGTGTACCTATTTACTCTTGCGATGACATTAAACTTCAAAATCATAGTGTGACCTTGACCTTTGAGGTAGGGACGTAGTTCTTGGACGCGACACATTGTCTTGATGTGGCAGACATTTGTGCCAAATTATTTCAAAATCTCTCAATGTAAGACAAAATTAAGAGTCTGGACACGAATGAAATGGGGACCCACAGACAGACAGACGGTGCGATTATAATATTATGCCTCCCTTTGGGGGCATAAAAAGTATGGCTAAAGGGAGGCATAAAAAGTATGGCTATTTTGTCTATATAGATCAATTACACTTTTTGTAGCAGAAAACCAATGCACCATTTATAAAATTCATATCAAATAATATTGTATAGCAACTGAACTAAAGCATTTTGTGGCTTAATAATATTTTATTGTAACTATATAATACATGTAAGATATGAACAACACAAGAACAAATGTACATATAAGTATAGTGTAAGTAGGATGGGCTACAAGTTATTACAACATTAGCAACAGCCCTTCCCACAAAGTATTACTATAACAATATAATTATTTTCCGGATAGTTTTCTGAGAATAATTACAAATTAGTAACTTACAGTGAAAGTCAGTAAAGGAGAAAAAAATCTAAACAAACTACATTTTTTTATAAATATATAGAAAACACGCAAAAATAAAAAAGTTTCCCTACATTCTGAACTTGAATGGCAAACAAATAAAAAACAGAGAGATTATGTGAGATATATATGATATTAAATAAATGAGAGTAGGTTTAATACTGAATTTATTAAACAAGTTGAATATAATCCTATTATGCGAGCAAGTTTAATAAATTCAGTTGTGAACCTACACGAATTTGATATACTATTTATCACATACCTAAAATAAGAAGAGTTAACAGTAAAAAGAATCATTTTTCATTGACGCTCCTTTAGTTTAACAAGGCTTTACGTTTTGTTTATTGAGGGCAAATGATGTCACGTCAAAGTGTTATTACACTAATGTAATATCATTTTTGTATTCGCTGCATTAGTGAAATCTTGGAATTGAGCTTGGGAATCATCTTGGAATATAAAAATAGCACTGTTGGAAATCAAATGAATTACTTTATATAAGAGTTGAAAAGTTTTTTTAATTTTTATAGAATATCAATAGTAAACTCATATTAATAATATCTTAATGTTTAAATATGGTGCAAAAACTATTCATAATTGTCAAATAATGCATGATAATGAATTTCCCGACATGACTAAGAAATGAACGTTGTTATATTATACAGAAAGAATGATAATTAATTTGTTACTGATTAAGCATCAGTTGTGCTAGAAACATTCTTTTAAAACATAATACCAGATTATTTTAGATTATAGATGGTACATTTATATTATTTCAGATGGCAATAATATGGCAAGAAACTCTGGTCCTTACAGCAAGGCTTTGAAATGCAAAATATTGGCCATGGGAAACCCAGTGTCATATACTGGGAAAGATGGACAAGACAAAAAATGTCTAAATCTTGCCGTGAATGATGGCACCTCAGTTATGAAACTGACATGCTATGATCAAACAAAGTTTAAGCATTTCAAGGAAAGAAACTAAATTTAAGAGATCACTTGACTATATTAAAGTGTTATCATTTTGTTTAGATTCTACTAACATAGCATGTATGAATTTGATAAAATTTTGCCATAAGCATTGAAACTTCAGTTCTGCATTGTTGAAAGATACATTCTTATATGCAAGGGCTCTAGCAACTAGGCCACTTCAGCGATCAAGTCGCCTAAAATTTCACAGTAATTCATGCACTGAGTTAAAAGAGTCATGAAGTTCTTTGAATATCAGTCACAAAAACACATACTGACTGTCAAAAATTCTTTATAACTGGATCTTTTAAATGCACCATGCATGTTTTTTTTTTCTTTTCTGGAAATCAAAAATCTAAGTTTCATTTGACATTTACCAATTAATTTCAGTCCATTTACTTTAGGCCTTACATATTTAATAATTAATGCAATATAAAATTTGTTGAATAAAAAATTCAAAAAATGCATTGGTGTAAAATATCAATCATTAATTTCTTCCTTGTAGGTTGGACATACTGTTGTTATTACAGAAGTGATGAAGAGAGTAGAAGAGGGAGTTGATTACATAGTTGTAACAAAGAACTTGAAAGTCTTCATATCTGGCCCAGTGGAAATCCCTGCCAGCCATAGTATTATTGCAGAGAAGCTAATAAACACCCCACCTGCTGAGGAAAAGAAAATGAAAGAGGCCCTTGCTTCCCAAGCAAAGAAGGTGTCTGTGTCTGGAAGAATTATACAGGTACGAAATTTTATTGATACATTCCTTATTAGCTTACCCAAGCACAGTGTTTGTCCATTTACTGTTTACACCATTATTTTATAACAATCAGCATTGTATGGTCCTTCTACAGGGTTGTTAAGGAAAAATCATTCTATGGACTAAAGCTTTAAGGTCCTAGGCATGAAACATTTATGTAAGCTTTTGCAATAACTTTACCGTTACTCCATGTTATCTTATATATTTATTTTTTATTTTTGTACAAAAGAAAAATCTGATCAACTTTTTATGCTACCCAAGGAGTGGAAGGAGCATAAAGTTGCCGCCTTGTTGGTCCATCTATTATACTCTTATCCAGACAATAACAACAACAATATTGAAGAAATAAAAATAAATATAAATTACAAAACATAAATTTAAGATTTATTGACTGATATTTGTTTTAAATATTATGATTTGTAGGTAGATAGATAACTTGGATGTTCTTGAATATGTGATGTCCAGGACTGTTTTTTCTTTTCTATCATGATAGAAGATGACACTCAAAAAGCCAAACTTACATTATGGAGGGAACTAAAAATGCTGCAGTAGAAACCAGACCAGGAAATTACATCCAAGTAACAGATGTCATAGTCAATGTATTTAATAACCAAACATCCTTGCAAACCACATCAAGATCTACTGTAACAGTGAGTTGATTTAAAGGAGAGTCAAAAACTAATGAAATGTACATTTTGCAAAACACTGATTAAATTAATGCATCAATAAAACAATAGACTTTAAAATAGATACTTGATTATTTTTTGTTTAAAAAGAAAAGGATTAATTACTCAAGCTAGTATAATAGTTAGTTTCAGGGTTTCTCTTTCGTTCTTATAGCTATGTTTTTTGCTTATTTTTTTTCAGGAAAAAACAATTCCAGAAGTAAAGAAACAACGATTGAAGGAATTTGTACTGATGATAATCTTGCATAACTTTTCCTAGAGGATGAAACCTCTTTATTCATTAACATTGATGTTTTGTTAATGGCATTGAACCTGGAGTCAACAGATAACATTATGGAAAATGAATCGTTCGAGCTAGAAGTAGTTTGTTGTGGATCAAACATAATTAGTGCTCGAAGCAGTTCTGAAAGTCAAAGGTAGAGCAGTCAGTTCATTACTTGTCGTTAAAAATAAAAAACGTGAGCTGTTACTTTCCCAGCAAAGGAAAGGAGAATTTAATTCTGAATTATATGGTGGCTGTCCTGATTGTTATGAAAGAAAATTTATAGCTAGCACCATGAGACATGCCCGGCAGAAACTAAAGTAACAGTCAAAGTGGCAATCATCAAGAGCTTAGTTTTTCAAGGAAAAATTGCATCAATAGACAACCAGAAACTGAAAGACAAAGTCTTTTCAATCCTGCATAAAGACGATATCACCAGGATTGCTTTAGAAGACACACATTGGGAGAAATCCACTTTATGAGTGCAATTAGAAACGCAAAAATCATGCAAGCTATAGGATGCCTTTGGCGTCTTGATTCACTGATACTTATTTGGAAAGAAATCAATCGGCCTCATGCAAATATGACACAGTGCATAACCTTGGAAGCCTTTGACGTTATTGCAAAATGTGCTATAATTGCATGTGGTGAGAATTATGAAAGGGAGCTTCAGCATCCATCTGTAGCAATTAAACCTAAAGATTAGACATATGGAAAATGATATCAGTGAAAATTGGATTTGCTTCGAAAGAAAAAGACAAAAACGGAGTACAAAAATGCCAAGCATTTATACTTAACCAAGTAAGCATCTATCTAGGACATGAATTCTGTTCTGGAACAATAATGTTTTTGGGCAGTCATTTTTCAAACTTCTTGAACAATGTTGACCAGTAATAAATAATTGCAGTGTTTCACCACGGAAATTCAAAGACGTGGGCCATGATCTGAACATAGCAAATAAATACACAATATTTTTCAGAGAGAAAAATGCCAATTAAACATTTATAACATGTACATTTCATTTTTAAGCATCCGCGTAACATTAAAGGTGTGAAGTTACAATTAAGAGGAATGGCAGTAATAACAGTTTTTGCATGTAAATTTAATCATTCAATCGTCTTTCATATTTGACCAAAGAGAAATAAGGTTGACTAATTTCGTTTACAGTTACTTGTTTCCTCCTTTTATTTTAATAGGAAAAGTGGTAAATAAAACTATTGAAGATAAGGTTCCGCGGGTAATTATGATAATTCCTTTTTGGAAGTCACAATTTTGGTTTCCTCTAATATTTGACCTGTTGATCTCTGTTCCTATCAGATTGCCGCGTCACAAGGATCTACTGACTTTACCGCATTGTGGGACAACTCACCTTTTTTCAAGATCAATGACCTTGGTCGCAGTGGAGTTATCAGCAAACATTTGCAAAGTGAGGGAGTTTTACCAGAAGTTGTATCCATTATCTTGCAATCTTGGAAAGCTGGAACAAGAAAACAGTATTCTTTGGCCTGGGGAAAATGGTGTGTTTGGTGTGAAAGGTATAGTAATCAAAGCACTGAAAGTACTGTTGGAAGGAAATTTTCATAGAAATACCTAATGCGTGTGAATTAAAAACAAAGGAATATGTGCAAGCTTCAATCTACAGCTAGCTGATTTGATGACGTAAAATGTGACGTCATTGTTTCCGTTTTTGCACTACTCATGTTCAGTGGGCTGATAACTAGTTCTTTGCCCAGGGCCCCAAACCCATAAGTTGTGACACTCATAATCAGTTGAAATCATAGGCAATTCTGTTACTAATATAGTAATTAGTGAATTAATAGATAATACTACTGCATTAATTTATGCACACAAAGAACCACTCAGTTTGACCTAAATCGGCCATGACTTATATGACTACTTCATAGGAATTCAAGACCATGCCATAAGCATTATTTAATCATAGTTAATGAAGAGACTTTTTATTTTAAACTCAAGGACAAGTAAAGCTCATCATGTGCTTACATTTGTAAGTTCTAACATAACTAATTGTGTTTTAGTATGAAATTGATGTACATGCTGTTAAAGTCATAGCAAAACAAAGAACAATGATTTAAAATAAACTTTTATTGTCAAAACTTGCATAAAAGTAAAAATATATGTTATATAAAAAATAAATGATTAAATATATGGAGATAATGAAATTTAGTTTGTCAGATAAAATGTGTAAAAGGAACTCCACTGAGGTTTTTTGACATGATGAGAATGAAATTTATTTTTCTAGATTAATGTACCACTTGATGTGTTTTGACCACTAATCTTTGAGAAAAATTTCAGATCATTTGCGCACTTCGTTTTTCAAGAATAATTATTCAAATTGTAAAAAAATTACCGAAAATGAAAGCGTTTAAACACATATCACGCAGATCAGGCTGAGAAAAGCATAAAAAAAAATTGATTTTCAATTCATTTCAAAGTATATTTCTTCACTATCTGTGCATATATTTCTGTATCAAGTGCCCCGGCTCATTTCTGTAGAAATTCAAATGTTATGTTTTAGGCTTTTAAACCTCAATGGAGTGAGTCCCTTTAAATTATTGGTACATATTGAGGTGATACAATTTATAACAATCTGAAAGAAAGAAGCTTTAATGCAAACGGCCAGTAATATAGGAGGTGCTGTTTTAAGGATTTTTTACAATGTACAAGACTGACATTATACAACAAAATATAGTCGAAAGTAGAAATGTGCCCATAGGACTTGAATGCCTGCGTTAAGTACAATGCTTATATTGAGTGGGTAATCAAAATATGTACATAATTAGACAAGCCCACTGGCAGCATATACCAAGCCTGTTGCCATTATTCAGAACTGAACCTTAAAGCTTCAGATTGGGGAGAAAGATGTATACATAAGTGAGCATTTGTGATAAATGTTATGAAAATCCAGCCATGTATATAGAAATATACTCTCATGTTTTAAGTTATTATCTGACTTTTGATCCAAAGTAGTGACCTTGATCTTTGCAACAGACACCTGATTTTTCATACTACACTCCAACTCACTGAAGACTGTTAAATTTTGTCCAGAGTTATATGAAAAATCTTTATAGATTTCAAAAGCATTCAAATATTATCAGTTATAAATCATTTTTTTGCATATGATTTTGGTAAGGAATGCATAATGTTGTATAAATTTTGTGGAATGTAACTGAAATCATACTTGACCTGTGTTTTGATACATTGTTGAATATACCAGTTATAAATTGAATCCTTAAAAGGTGTACAAATCTTATTGGTTAGCTTACAAGAGCATTTCTGTTTTCATAAATTACTAGGTAAAGTACAAAGAATGATATTGTTACAATTTTATGAGCCATCACATCAAACCGTGATCAATGTAATATGAAGTATGGGAAAATAAGTAACAAGAAGTGCATGTTTAACTAAAAACAGAATGTATGATTCAGAGGAACACTGTAAAAATAAAGTAAATAATGTTAAAAAAAAAAAAAAAAAAAAAAAAACATAAAAAAAGTTGACCATCATTTGGACTTTCATGAGTTGGCCATGCTAATCTTAGAATAAGAACATAAATAAAATACAACATTATACAAAAGGTAGTACAAAAAATACAATGATCAAAAGTTTGAAAGTGAACACTTGTTGGTAAAATAAACAAGAATTTGTAACAGAGATACCAACGTCCCCCGCCTCAGGGAAGTTTTATATGAAGCAAAAAATTGTGCTATTTCAAAAGATTGAGGCAGGGATCTAAGGATTTTCAGTCCAAAATTATGATCAATGCTGGATCTGCAAATGCAACAATAAATTTATTAAAGAAATCCAATGAAATACTGAATTTCAAAAATATATCATGTTATGCTTTGCAGGGATTTTTTGGCTTATTTTATAGCCGTTATTGGGACATATTCCCAATTGAAAATAGTATATTATTTTCCCAATCCAAAGGAAAATATTCCCAATTGAAAGTTACAAAAATATAAATATTGAATAAAGAATTCTAAAATCTTTGAAAAATAAGGGCTTCTTTACTGTAATAGTGTTTAAATGTTTGAAGAAGCCATCCTAGGCAGTGATTGCTTGCATACATTTAATCACTGCAAACTTTTAGTCATACATTTTTTCCCAATTTTAACAAAATATCGCTGAAATTCTCAGTTGCATGGGTATGGATTATGTTCCCAAAATCCTGGAAAAAATCCCTGCTTTGACCTCTTAGTGTGACCTTGACCTTGGAGGTAGGGGTGCAGGTGTTGTGCATGACATATCATCTTATCATTGTGACTATTTGTGCCAAGTATTTTCCAAATCCCTTCATCTATGAAGAAGTTATGGACGGGGCATAAAATATACCATATAACAGACTTTGTTACCTTTATACATGTAAGTGTGACCTTGACCTTGGAGGCAGGGGTGCAGGTGTTGTAATTGACATATCGTCTTATTATTGTGACTATTTGTGTCAAGTTATTTCAAAATCCCTTGAACTATGAAGAAGTTCTACATTGACACAATATATACCCTTTAAAAGACTATGTTAATTTTTTACCTCGAAATGTGACCCTGACCTTGGAGGTAGGGATGCAGGTGTTGCGCTTGACACATTGTCTTATTATAGTGAATATTTGTGCCAAGTGTTTTCAAAATCCTTTGATATACAAAAAAGTTATGGACCAGACAAAAAAAAATACCCTATAACAGGCTATGTTAATCTTAGACCTCCAAGTGTGACCTTGACCTTCTAGGTTGGTGACCGATTGTTGCGCATAACACATCATCTCATTGTTGTGAACAATTGCGGCAAGTATTTACAAAATCCTTTCAAAGATAAGAAAGGTATAGACTGGACACGAGATATACCCTCAAATGGACAATGTTGACATTGAATGAGCAAGTGTGACCTTGACCTGAAGGTAAGGGTCTGGTTGTTGCACATCATCGTCTTATTATAACAAACATTTGTGCCAAGTTATTTCAAATTCCTTCAATAAATGACAAAGTTATGGACCGGACACGAAATATACCCTGTAACAGGCTATGCTAATATTTGACCTCCAAGTGTGACCTTGACCTTGAGGCAGGTGACCTGTTGTTGAGCATGACACATCTTCTCATTATTGTGAGCAATTGTGGCAAAGAATTTACAAAATCCCTTTAGAGATAGGGAAGACCAGACACGAGATATACTCTCAAAAAGACAAGTTGACCTTGAATGAGCAAGTGCGACCTTGACCCTGGAGGTAGGGGTCTGGTTGTTGACATGACTCATTGTCTTATTATAACAATCATTTCTGCCAAGTTATTTCAAATTCCTTCAATAAAAGCTTGAAGTTGATAAAGATTTGTTCATACATATTTCAACAAGATTGTTGAACAAGAGGGCCATGTGTATATAGGCCCCTGGAGCGGGGCCAGTTTAAAACCCAGGGTTTTTATTTGACCAAACTTGTAAGACACCCGTTAGAAGATGTTTCATGATGTTAAGTTTTTTACTACACACATATAATGTAAAACAAAGACCTCTGCACCACCCCCCACCCCGGCATGGCCAATTTTTATACAAGGGCTTAAATTTGAACAAACTTGGTCGACACCATAAGATGTTTCATGCTAAACATCTAGGCTCTAGCTCATTGGGTTTGTTAAAAGAAGATTTTTTAAGTTTTTTACTATACACAAATAGTTAAAAACAATGAAACCCCTGGGGTGGGCCTTGTACACACTTACCAGAAGATGTTTCATGCTTAATATCTAAACTCTAGCTATTTAGGTTTTTTTCAAAGAAGGTTTTTAAGTTTTTGCTATACACATATAAGGAAAATCAAATCACCCCCGGGGAGGGGCCAATTTTGACCCCAGGGCTTTTATTTGAACAAACTTTGTAGACACTTACAAGAAGATGTTTAATGCTTGATATCTAAACTCTAGCTATTTTGGGTCTTTAAAAGAAGATTTTTAAGTTTTTACTATATGCATATAGGGGAATTCAATGACCCCCTGGGGCGGGGCCAATTTTGACCCCCAGGGCTTTTATTTGAACAAACTTGGTAGACACTCACTAGAAGATGTTTCATACCTTTAAAAGAAGATACTTTGTCTAAGCTCTAGCTCTTTAGGTTCTTTAAAAGAAGATACTTTAAGTTTTTTTCTTTTGGTTGCCATGGCAACCAGCGTTCTATGAACAATATTTAGAGGTGACCACCAAAGAAACATTCCTGTGAAGTTTGGATGAAATTGGCTTAGTGGTTTATGAGGAGATGTCATTTAAAGTGGACGCCAGACGAAAAGCGATCAAAAAAGCTCACCCTGTCACTTTTGTGACAGGTGAGCTAAAAATAGTTAAGTGATCTTATTTTCCTGGTGAAAAACTGGTGGCTCAATAAAGTTCTATACATATTATGATATTTCAAATATTGGAAAGTTATCTCTAGTTCTTGGTGAAAGACTGGTGACTAGTTTTCTCCTCAATGTCATTTTCTTTTTCTAATTAGATTAAGTCATGGTACTATACATGTATTCATGAGGCTTTCGACAT